ATCTGCCTGTCTGTTGACACTTATGGTTTGGGGAGCAGGGGATGCTGTAGTGAACCGGCCTGGACTAGGAATGAACACTAAAGCAGGGTTTTAATGAACTTAGGAATATGTTGTTGGTCTTTCGGCTGCTACTGTTAGGGGTCACCACAGTGGATTATTGGGCTGCATGTTTGATTTGGCACAAATCAGGCTTAGGCTTTGTGAATTTCCTGGTTACACAATTGCACTATTTGTCCATGTAGTACACTGTTATAGAAGGGATTTATTTATAATTGCACCTGCATCTGTTGTCACCCAGATGAGGATTTGTTCCCTTTAGAGTCTGGTTCCTGTCAAGGTTTCTTCCTCATATTGTCTCAGGGAGTTTTTCCTTGCCACTGTCATCTCTGTCTTGCTCATTAGGGATAAATTCATACATTTACAATTTATATTCTGAATGTATTTATTTCTGTGAAGCTGCTTTGTGACAATGTCCATTGTTAAAAGCGCTTACAAATAAAATTGAATTGAACTGAATTGAATTCTGTGGTATCGGACCAGATGGGCAAGCATATATATATATATATATATATATATATATATATATATATATATATATATATATATATATATATATATATATATATATATATATATATATATATATATATATATATATATATATATATATATATATAAATATAAGAGGTTCCACAAAAATATGGCATTTACCATTTAGGAATTATAGCCATTTTCAGCAAAGTACCTCCATTTTCAGGGGCTCAAAGGTATTTGGACAAAGTGACATAAATGTAAATATAACCATAATTTTAATACTTGGATGAAAATCCTTTGCAGTCAATGACTGCCTGAAGTCTGGAGCCCATGGTCTCAAAATTCAAATTCTGAGTTTCCTCATTGGAGATGCTTTGCCAGGCCTTGACTTCACTGTTTGTGAGTCTTTCTGCCTTCAGTCTTGTCTTCAGTAAGTGAAAAACGGAAAGGATTCTGCGATCATCCACTTTAGTTGTCTTCCGTTTTCTTCCAGACCTTTCGATGTTGTTGAGCTCACCAGTGATTTTTTTTTCCTTTTTAAGAATGTACCCAACTGTTGATTTGGCCACACCTAAGGTTTTTGCAATCTCTCTTCTAGATTTGTGTTGTTTTTTCAGTCTAATGATGGCCTTCATCACTTGCATTGAGATCTCCTTGAACTTCATATTGGTAGCTCCAGCTGCCAAATGCCAACTCAATACCTGATATCAACTCCAGACCTTTTATCTGCTTCATTTGTCTTGAAGTAATGAGGGAATGGACCGCACCTGGTTAATTAACTTCTTCAGCCAATTGTCCATATACCTTTACCTAAATGGTAAATGCCATATTTTTGTGGAACCACTTAAAATAAAGCTGAAAGTCTACACTTCAATCACATCTTGATTGTTTTATTTCAAATCCATTGTGGTGGTGTATAAAGGCAAAATCACAGAAACTCTGTCATTGTCCAAACACCTCCGGACCCAAGTGTGTGTATATATATATATATATATATATATATATACATACAATCAAGAAATATCAGCATTATTTAGTATAAACATCAAACTCAAAAACATGTCAAAGCACCTCTAAAATAAATGACGGTTCACTGACTATTTGGGGGGAAAAATCTTGCACTATACAGCTTTTAAACACGGATCATAAGCATATGTGTTAGTTTTGTATATAAAAGGTGCCAATAATTCTGTAGTTCACTGTAAAATATTATATATTATCTGTATTGTTGTATAAGGAGTTTAATGAAACAAAGATTTATCAGCAAAGCCTCCATACAATAGCCAGTGTAAAAACAAAACATTCAATAAAAAAAGACTGGTATCATCATTTTATTACTGCCATGTCCTATCATATTGTCCTATCAGATATTCCCATTCTTGATACCAAGACACAGAAACATAGCTACACACACATACACAACATATACAGTAAGAGGATACAGAGGTGAAAGAGAGACGGTGTTGATAGACAATTGAAAAAGAAAGAGGGGTCAAACTCAGACAGCACAGAGATCTGACAAAGAATGTTTTCATTTCAGAATCAAAATATATGTACATATATATATATATATATATATATATATGTATGTATGTATTCTAAAGGCAGTAAATTTTATATAGACCAAAAATGGAGGTCTATTTTGAGTCTGACTCAATGGTTAAATGGGGCAGTTCAGATGTAAAAGGTCAAGGTTTAGACTGTGGGGTGGCCTCTTCATTTTTCCCAGGGTCAGATGTCGTCCTTAATGCCACATCCCTTGCTGTGTCCTTAGTTCTATAAAGTAGAAAATAAACCAAAAGTATACTATTAGAATACTTTGCTCATCAGGCAAAACACAGTTTAAACATTTTAAGTATTAGAAGCCAAATAAATGTTTAAAGCTCTGGGCTGTTTTAAACTGCTTCCAGCTCTATTTATAGGTCTGTGAATTTCCCTCCCAGTTTTTCCTTGGTTGAATCCATTGCCCTGCATCCAAGCTATAGACACATCAAAGCATCACAACACTTTAAAATAAGAACAGATTTTTAGATCCTAGAAGTTCCCGATCCTAACACATTTAAACAATGCTAACCCTATGCTAACTGTTAGTTTGTAAATTTTATTGTAATGCTCAAAGGTGTTATAACATCTCTGGAAGCTGTTTGGCATAAATTATACATATCAGTTTAATGCTGTTATGTATCATATATCATTTCTAAATCTGTGGCATAGTGGCACAGTGGGAGCTCGGTATACTGTCTGTGTGGAGTTTCACATGTTCTTGCATGCATTTTGCATTTTTTTGGTTAATGTAAGTTGAACCACCAGCTGTATGTAATGGTATAATATTAGCAATTATTTTATACATGGAGATGTTAGAATTTGGCATGTCCAGTGGAGAATTCTAACTTGGACTGGAAGACTCAAATCTGGCCTTGAGACATTTTTTGTATTGACTTGGACTTGTCTAGGACTTACTGGTATTTGTACTTGGACTTGTCTTGGTCTTGGGCATTGGTCTCACTAAATATGGTCTTCGTCTCGACTGAGAGTTTATAAAAATAATTTTTGTGTTGTCTTTTCTTTTCACATGCACAAAGTTTGACAATAAGTCATGCTTATTAGCCTGGACTGTAGCATGAGACTCTGGGTGAAACGGGGCCCCGTTTAAGTTTTGACAAGGGGAGGGAACACGGGTGCATTGCAGTCACGGGGGCTTTTGATATTAGCTAGCTAATTGTCATAATGTCAGATTATTTTTCTTGTGATCTCATAATAACAAAAGTTGTTTCTTTGAGATAACTTATTTTTCTTGGGATCTCAAGAGAACAAAAATTGTTTCCATGTTTCTTTGCATGTAACAACTTTTTCTCATGATCTCATAATAAAAATTGCTTTCTCAAGTTCACAACTTATTTTCATCATGATGTCAAAATGCATGATTAGGCATACTGCAACATCCAGCCAGGACATTTCCCCAGAGGGTGCCCTCTTTGGAATTTTGAAATGCTTCTTCATTTATCCTGCTCATGTGAGCCTTGGCTTACAGATTTATTTGGATAGTTTTGCTATGTAAGACCATTGCCTTGCCTTGTTTCACCTTTGCCTAGCTGTTTTTTAATTTTTTTAAAAAGAATTTTAAATGTGTTTTCTGATTTCTGGCTTTTGAACTCCTGCATTTTCTCTTGACTACGTTTTGGATTACGTTTTGGATTTGAAGTGTTTTTGGTAACTACCTGGACTGTTTTGACCCTGCTTTGCTCATTAATATACCTCAAGCATACGAATCCTTACACTGTCTTTCAGAGCCCTTTGTTACACACTGTACACTGTACATGCTGTACATCATGGATGAGCGCATCCATTTTTACTTTAATCAGGGAATGACACAAGCAGAAATAGTGGTAGCGTTGCTGCCTTACAGATGCAGGGTATTAAGATTGACTTTATTTTTCCCAAATTTCCCCTTTGGGATCAATAATGTACATCAGTCTACCTAGCTGTATGTTTGTCAGTGCTAAACAATTTCCAAATTAGAGTTTGTAACTTTAAAAGGCAACTCTACATCTATCACAACTCTATCATCTACTACCGTGGACACACATCGTGGAATGGGTGGTCAGTATCATTGTCAGCCAATTTGAGGGACCAGGATGTCTCCATGGTTATAGTATGATGTTTGAAACATGTCGCCTTAATGGGAAAAACCTGTGGAGATTGGATTCGACCTGGATTTTAGTGTGGTAAATTTTCAGTAAATTTGCTGCAAATAAATCCTGATGACATCACTTCTAAAATTTAAGGTAACCCTGCTGTTAACAGTGATGTGAGAGTTATGAGTTATGTGGGTACATAGAGATGCTTGATGCTAAGCTGGTGGCATTGTGTCTCTTTTAGTGTTCAGGCATTCAGATATTTCTTGTGAATAGCACATGAGAGGCACACAAAACTATTGTAAGACTACTTTGTGACACTGAAAGGAGAACCAATTACACCCATTTAATGAAGCCAGGAAACAACAGAAGTCCAGAAAAGCCATGAGTTATTTATTTTTTTGTGTATTGTTATCTCGAAATCACAACTTAATTTTCTTGTGATCTCAAGATAATTTGCAGTAATTACATCTAATTTCTGAAGATTTTGACAAAGCTCAAAAAAATGTCTTGTGAGCCATAAACCATTTAGGTGAGAAGTCACAGTCCCTAAATTTGGCTGGCAATGAAACTGACTACCCGTTTAAGATAACTATAGTGTTCATGATGATATAGTTGCAGATTTCTGAATCATCTTCTCAAGTTGTTGTTGTTCTTCTTCTTTCGGCTGCTCCCGTTATGGGTTGCCACCGTGGATCATTGGTCTGTGTATTTATTGGCACAGTTTTTACACCGGATGCCCTTCCTGACGCAACCCGCCCCCATTTTATCCATGCTTGGAACCGGCACTGAGAGCGCACTGTTGCATGCAACCCCAGTGGCTGGGCTTGGTTCCCTGGCCAGGAATCGATCCTGGGCTGCAGCGGTGAGAGCGCTGTGGCCCAACCACTAATCCTCCAGGGACCTAATCATCTTCTCAAGTGACAGACATTAATTTGGATATTGTCTAGCACTGATACACCTACAGCTATCTCCTTGTGTGTCAGCCCCTAATTAAAGTAAACTACATATGTGCTCATCCATGATGTGCCTGAGTCTGTGCCTAATCATGCATTTCAACATAATGAGAAAAAAATGAGCCGTGGTCTTGAGAAAACAACTTTTGTTATCCTGAGATCAGAAGAATAAAAGTTATCTCAAGAAAACAAGATCACAGAAAATAAGTCCTAATATCAAGTTAATGGCACAGGAAAATAGAAATAACTCATGGCCTTTCTGGACTTCTGTAGTGAACTCCTGATTCAAAGTTAAACATTTTCTCCCTCTGAACGACTGTCTTGCTAAATCCTTAGGGATCGTTGCTAAAGTGTGGCAAACAAGGAAAGTGTGAAAAAGTTTGTCATTACCAACCACCTGATTTCAGTAGGGTCTTGCTGCATAGGAGCTATGAAATGTGTGTCATGCTTTCTTTATTTGAATTTTTTCCATAATAATTAGAACATGTCATTTGAACAGCAGCTCCAAAACTAGTTGTATAACAAAAAGCACCTTTTACAACACTCAGTACTTGGGCATATTTACACTCATATTTGTAATGAACAGGTAATGAATTTTTAAATAATTATTAGTAATTGATACAGATTGAGAAATTTTAATCAGATGCAATTAATATGATGACTGAGTAGTTGCTATTATATCAGAAATTATCTGCAAGCTGCAATGTTGCTCTAAAAATACAGTGAATACAAAAAGTCTACACACCCCTGTTAAAATGGCAGGTCTTTGTGAAGTAAATTAATGACAATAAGATAAATCATGTCAGATCTTTTCTCACCTTTAATGTGTAATTGCAAAGTATACAAATAAAGTGAAAAACAATCAAACTTTTTAGGGAAAAAAAGAAAACTAAAAAACTTACAATAACCTAGTTGCATAAGTGTGCACACCTCTAAACTAATACTTTGTTGAAGCAGCTTTTGATTTTATTACACCACTCAGTCTTTTTGTGTAAGAGTCTATCAGTGTGGCACGTCTTGACTTGGCAATATTTTCCCACTCTTGCAAAAACATTCTAGATCCTTGAAATTGTAAGGGCATCTCCTGTGCACAGCTCGCTTCAAGTCACCCCACAGATTTTAGTTGGATTGAGGTCTGGGCTCTGGCTAGGCCATTCCTTTATTGATGTATGCTTTGAAAGGTACTGAAAGGTGAAATTGCTTTTCGTCTTCAGCTTTCTAGCAGACACCTGAATGTTTTGCACTAAAATTGGCTGGTAGCTATTCATAGCTATTTGTAGCTATTCATGATTCCCTTCACCTTGATAAAAGCCCCAGTTCTGGCTGAAGAAAAGCAGCCCTAAAGCATTATGCTCAGACCATAAGACATTTTGCCACATGGTTTGGGGTGACTGGGTAGGGCTTCCGTCTAGCCCCCCTACCCCATAACCCAGACATGTGACGAATATGAGAGATTGTTGTCACATGCAGAGAGTAATCAGTACTTGTCAGATATTCCTGCAGCTTCTTTAATGTTGCTGTAGATCTCTTGGCAGCCTCCCTTGTAAGTTTTTGTCTTGTCTTTTTGTAAATTTTGGAGGGATGTTCTGTTCTTGTTAATGTCACTGTGGTGCTCCATTTTCACCACCTGTTGATGATGGCTGGTGTTCCATCTAATGTTTTGGAAATTCTTTTATACTCCTCTCCTTATCAGTTCCTTTCGACAGTGAGACCCTGTACAGGCTTTGTAAGCTCTTTGGAGACCATGGCTTCAGCAGTCAGAGTAAAAAAAGAAGTTGTGAAGAAAATCCTACAGAAACAGCTGGTCTTTATTTGAGGTTAATCAGAATAATTTCATTGACAGTTGTATGATAATTATTTTTGAATATGAGATTTAATGCGATTGGTTCATTCTGAACACAGCCACACCCCCAACTATAAAAGGGTGTGCACACTTATGCAACAAGGTTCTTGTAACTTTTCTTTATTTTTCCTATTTTTTCCTAAAATGTTTCTGATTGTTTTTCACTTAATTTTTATACATTGTAATTTCACATTGAAGGTATGAAAAGACTGGAATGATTTATCTTGGTTTAATTTTTTACAAAATTACAAATCACAAAAACTTGCCATTTTAACAGGGATGTGTACACATTTTCACAACTCTGTGCTTAAATTACTGTCCAAAAGGTTTGACTATCCATCTCTTTGTCTCTCTCTGCTTAAAGAATACTTGCTGTTTTATGTTACCTACTATCTACTGTTTTGTGTTATAGCATCCTTGCTTTTTTCTGGTGGGAGCATTTATCAATTCAAATCAAGTTGTCACTTGGATGGGTTAAATGCAGAGCACAAATTCCGAGTATGGGTCACCATACTTGGCCACATGTCACGTCACTTCACTTCACGTATAGGGCCCCAATAATGGCTCAAGACCAGGGGCCCCTCTGGTTTTCGGTCTCAGTCCTGACTCATAATGACACTACCATTATGAAAGGGTGTGTAGGTTTTTTCCTTTTTGTGGTTTTTATAAGGAGTAGCAGAGATTCAAACAGTCACATTCAAACTCATGTTCAAAAGTAATTGTGACTCAGTGAACAGTCACATTCAAACTCATGTTCAAAAGTAATGATCATATACCTGTAATCAATGATGTGATTCTGATTAACACTAAATAAAGATCAGCTGTTTCTGTAGGATTTTCTTGACATCTTCTTGGTTTCATCTGACTGTTGAAGCCATGGTCCACAAAGAGCTTACAAAGCATGTACAGGATCTCACTGTCGAAAAGGATCGATCAGGAGAGGGATACAAAAGAATTTGCAAAACCTTAGATGTACCAAGTGGAGAAAATGGGGCACCGCAGTGACTTTACCAAGAACAAGACGACCCCCCAAAACTGATGAAAGGACAAGATGAAAACTTATCAGGGAGGCTGCCAAGAGACCTACAGCAACATTAAAGAAGGTGCAGGAATATCTGGCAAGTACTGACCACTCCCTGCATGGAACAGCAATCACTCTTATTTTTAAAATATCTGGGCTATTGGTTAGTGTGGCTAGATTGAAGAAAAATACGAGCCCACCTGTGGCAAAATGTCTTATGGTTTGATGAGACCAAGGTAGAACTTCTTGAGCATATGTCAAAAATATACTATATGTGGTGCAACAAGACAGCTTATCACCCTAAGTACACCATACCCATGATGAAGCATGATGGTGACAGCATCATGCTGTTGGGCTGCTTCTCTTCAGCTGGGATTGAGGCTCTAGTCAAGATAGAGGGAATCATGGATACCTCTAAATACCAATCTATTTTGACACAAAACCTGCAGGCCTTTGTTAGACGGCTGAAGATGAAAAATTCCAGCATGCCAACAAACCAAAGCACAAGTACAAGGAGGTGTTTTAACAAAGTATTAGTTAAGGGGTGTGCACACTTGTGCAACCAGGTTTGAACCTTCCATTTGTAACCTTCTATTTGCTTTTCACATGAATTTTTTGGATGCTATATCGCATTATATGTGGAAAAAAAAACTGCCATGATTTATCTTAGTTTCATTTTTCACATCACAAAAACCTGTAATTTGAACAGGGGTGTGTAGACCTTTAATATCCACTGTAGATATAGCTAGAGGTCATATTTTCATCTCTTTTCAGTTTTCTTGATGACTTAAGTTACAGTGAATTCTAATAAGAATTCCTCTTTCAAACACTAACATTTGGGACACTGCAAATTGATAAAGATTATACACCTGAGTCAGCTTACCTAATTAACAAAATCTTTGTGAAGTGTATATTGGTCCTCAGTTGTAATTCAGTGTAAACAAAAAGTGTTTTAGTAATGGCTTTCCTGAACCACTGTTATAAAGGCACTGGATTATATAGTGAGGAATTCAAGGGCTGAACAAAACCTAGTGAATATTGTATTGGTCACTTCAAAATTCAGAACCCCTTCTGTCTGTCATGTTTGATTTTCTAAGTTTGGATGAAATTCTGGTGAATAACTTGTTATTTTATCCAGTTGCAAATGTATTAAAAGTATAGTTTCCAAGTATGTTAGGTATCATGTGCTATTTATTGTTGTTGCTATATGCTAAATATATTGTGAATAATAATATACAGTCGGGTCTGGAAGTATTTGGACATACAAATACTTCCGGACCTGACAGTATGTGTATGAGGGTGCATTTGAGACTCAATTTACATCTAGGGACATTTTATTGGACATTTTAACATTACTGTTGTTATTGTTGTTATAATTGTTTAATTTGATGGTCTGGGTGAGTGGAAAGGACCAGGTGAAGAAATTAATCGAAGAGAAAAGATTATCCATCAGTATCTAATTTTATAAGAACTAATGCAGGTGGCAAGACTAGAAAGTTGTATATAAGAAATAAATGGAGAAAAATGTATGGAGTGTCAGAGGTGATGAAAAGAAAAGGTCAAAGGTTAAATGTTGTATAAATGTGACCTGTGCTCGGGAGGCAGTTGGACGCTGGACAGGACGTCCCAACTTGACATCGAGCTGCCAAGGGACCGAGAGACAATCACATGACCAAAAAAATTAAATTCTACATATGTGATCAATAAAAAGCAATCAGGTAATCAAACATAACAACATACACATATAACATACATGATTGGCTAATAATCAAATGATACTTTAGGTTTTTATGTTTTGAACATATATGATTAGATAATCATCCTATGATCACTGCATTGTGTTATGTAATTAGCATTATGCCACATCAATATAGCACTGATTGACATCTGCTGAATGGGGTCAGCCCTATGTTCCCAGGGCCCTGTGTTTACATTGTCCCATATTTCCAGGTTTCTATGTTGCCAGGGTCCTACTTTCTCTGGCCTGTATTCCTAGAGCCCTTTATGTTGCCCGATCCTAATATTTCAAGAGTCAGAGTCGAATAATTCCAGTGTGTTACCTTACCTGAGTTATGTTTTCAGG